AAACAAGCTTATTCGGCAGCCAAAAGCGTGTGGACGGACTACGGGAATAACAGTATATATGATATATGTCATAAATGAAGTATCCTTTTGTGGCTCTATATCTGACACCAAATACATCGTTTGCTGCTTGTTATCAAAATATACATATCGCCAATCCTCGTATATAATCATCGACTTAAATTGCGTTAGTGAATAACAGAACTAACTAAGCCAAATACAAGAATGGATTTTTGATTACTTATATTTCATACAGTCGTTGATTGGAAAGCAAAGCAAAAAAAGTGACACAATGAAGAAGGCGAGCGAGTCGATTCAATTTAGCCAAGCCTGAATCAATATTTATAATCAGACCAACAATAGGTTACAGTGCAACGGTGAATAAATCCCCGAAATAAATTGCTCTGTAAGTTTTCGACATTGGATGCTGACCACAGTTTTGATGGACTCATCTAGCTGAAGGCGCCCAGTCATGCATCCGCACCAGATCACGTGTGGGAACGCCGTGCTCAACATCTACTGCAATCGCTAGCCAGATTAGTTCAAACGATCCTCGATATATTGATAGCTTATCAAATATATCTTCGATATATTGATAGCTTATCAAATGTATCTTCGAACCTCCTCGCTTCTGTCTTTTGATTTCACTTGGTGGGTACGCTTCATATTAGAAAGTGTTACTGGTTAAGCGTTGTCAAACTCCGATCACTTGTGGCATCTTGAACATTTACGAACATCAACATTCTTCATCATAAAGCTCAATATAAAAAACGATGTGATACATGAGCCCAATCTCCCAAGTTTGGGGAAATTTTCGGTAAGCCTCCAAATTCAAATGACCTTGACCAAGGTTAAAGGGGAATTTCGGGGAAATGGCACCAAAACCCCGAAATTTCACCAAAGTTCACTATAGCGACTTCCTCGAAATGAATCAAATTTTCCCCAAAATTTGGGGCACAGAAGGTCATATGAAGTAGTGCATAAAACAAAATGTGATACAGAATCGCAGTTAATAGATGTTAAACTCGGGTCACAGTGTGGATGCTGGTGTTCGATACTGAACAGATTCATTCAGCTAACAATTTTGCAGGGAATAGTTAATATAACGAGTATCTTATTTTTCCCGCAATAACTTTATTGCTTATGTTATTGGCAGCGGTTTATTTGCTGCCTTATCGCTTTCAAAAGTTTTTCAAACCCATAATGTGTTATCGCGGATTCCACATTCCTATCGCTTCACAGCATCCAAGGGCAACGGTACAGCAATGCGAAGCTGTTCGAGTATAGCAAAAATATATTAAACTAATACGTTCTTGTATCCAGGTCATCCATTATAAGCTCAAATTAGACCAGACGGAATTCGAGGGTATGACCCCTAGGTTCTACTTACTAGTGATGTCAAGGTGTGGTAAGGAGACCATATTAGAGAAGCCGCACAATATGCATTGTATTTATCTGACTCTAAAATACAAAATTCTAGATCATTGTGCACTTAAAAATCGCTCAGTCACTTCTAACACATCTTTTGTTAAAGGGAATCAAACAAAATGTTTATTATGAAGATCAGTAAGACTGCATATTTTTAACACCTAGGAAATTTGAAGACAATAGCCAAATTAGCAAATCACCACAGCACCCAAAATGCATAAAAAGCTAATCAGTTTTCAGTCGAATGGCTAAAAAACAAAACACACATTCATCAAATGTTATTACTATACGTTCACCAGTACATAATATAAAGCCTTTGTAATTTCAGCAGTTCATTTCTGAAATACTTCAATCTCAAGATCATATTATTAATTTGATGTGGCTAGTTGTTAGCATTCATGTGTGGTTACTTCCTTTGTTTCTTGGAGACATAATATTACCACATTTCCTCAAGAACATTTTTTCTCACCGTTTTTCGTCACTTACGTTCTTGAAATATGCCTTGCACCATAACTTGACTGTTTTACGGTCCACTAATGCAGATACTGTCAAATGATCGTATGGTTATTCTAGGAGTATTTTCTGAGTTCACATTTTTCAAAGTGACTGTAGTTTGCTCAAGAACTGCTAGGAAGGAATAGAATGGCATGATCACGTTTTCTAACAAGCAGATTTTGTTCAATATGATTCCTGTTTTATTTCATCAGAAGGACAGCTCAGAGAAATATTTATTTTCTTGTGAAAACACTTGAATATTTATGTGTGATGTTCACTCAGGTATTATTTTTCATGCACTTTATACAATTACTGAACTTTGCTCGGTGTCTCATGCAACATGGGCTTCTTGTAGTATAGTTGTTTTCAGCCAAGAAATTCTTATCTCTAACTTATCCGTATTACTTTGAGTTGTCACTCACTTAAAACACCGTATTTTCGTTTGCACCCCCCACCAACGTGGTAATAACTAAGTCATAACACAAAGTCTAGTCGAATGTGGTTTATTTCAAACAAGCTTATTCGGCAGCCAAAAGCGTGTGGACGGACTACGGGAATAACAGTATATATGATATATGTCATAAATGAAGTATCCTTTTGTGGCTCTATATCTGACACCAAATACATCGTTTGCTGCTTGTTATCAAAATATACATATCGCCAATCCTCGTATATAATCATCGACTTAAATTGCGTTAGTGAATAACAGAACTAACTAAGCCAAATACAAGAATGGATTTTTGATTACTTATATTTCATACAGTCGTTGATTGGAAAGCAAAGCAAAAAAAGTGACACAATGAAGAAGGCGAGCGAGTCGATTCAATTTAGCCAAGCCTGAATCAATATTTATAATCAGACCAACAATAGGTTACAGTGCAACGGTGAATAAATCCCCGAAATAAATTGCTCTGTAAGTTTTCGACATTGGATGCTGACCACAGTTTTGATGGACTCATCTAGCTGAAGGCGCCCAGTCATGCATCCGCACCAGATCACGTGTGGGAACGCCGTGCTCAACATCTACTGCAATCGCTAGCCAGATTAGTTCAAACGATCCTCGATATATTGATAGCTTATCAAATATATCTTCGATATATTGATAGCTTATCAAATGTATCTTCGAACCTCCTCGCTTCTGTCTTTTGATTTCACTTGGTGGGTACGCTTCATATTAGAAAGTGTTACTGGTTAAGCGTTGTCAAACTCCGATCACTTGTGGCATCTTGAACATTTACGAACATCAACATTCTTCATCATAAAGCTCAATATAAAAACGATGTGATACATGAGCCCAATCTCCCAAGTTTGGGGAAATTTTCGGTAAGCCTCCAAATTCAAATGACCTTGACCAAGGTTAAAGGGGAATTTCGGGGAAATGGCACCAAAACCCCGAAATTTCACCAAAGTTCACTATAGCGACTTCCTCGAAATGAATCAAATTTTCCCCAAAATTTGGGGCACAGAAGGTCATATGAAGTAGTGCATAAACAAAATGTGATACAGAATCGCAGTTAATAGATGTTAAACTCGGGTCACAGTGTGGATGCTGGTGTTCGATACTGAACAGATTCATTCAGCTAACAATTTTGCAGGGAATAGTTAAGATAACGAGTATCTTATTTTTCCCGCAATAACTTTATTGCTTATGTTATTGGCAGCGGTTTATTTGCTGCCTTATCGCTTTCAAAAGTTTTTCAAACCCATAATGTGTTATCGCGGATTCCACATTCGTATCACTCATGTACCTTTTTCCAATTATTTGTTTAGCAATTGAAGATGACCGATGTTTATCCTATACTCTTGTTTGGTCACTTGATTTTATTTGTTTCTACAGCTTTTTGGGTACATTTTCACTCACCATTCACTCATGGTTGCTCCTCCCTAAGCGACTCAACAATAGTAGATGATAAACATCCATCATCCTCTATTGCTAAACACATAATTGAAACAGGGCACAGGATTGATCTAAACTCAGTTTTTGTTTATTGTATAAAATTGTAAAATGGCGTATACTAAGGTTTATTGGAGCCTTACCCATACGAAAATTCAAACCCCCTTTGTGTATTCAAAAACAGTTTGTTCTTACCTTAAACCTACCCTGGTAATATTGACTTATTATCCAGAGTGATTAGGTTTTGAATTGTGTTCAGATTATTATTAATATTATTATTATTATTACTCTTATTATTATCCTTATCTCCTCTTACCCCATTTCCAGTCTAGTTAACTTTTTATTTTTATATATAAATGTTCTTAACAATTATATGTGTGATCAGATTGTTCGAAATGTATTGCGCTAATATATCACATAGTTCTGATAATCTCCATCTCTTGATTACATTATCGAAATTTATAAAAGGGACTAATTGCTTTAAATAACTATTTTATGCTTTGTTAAAGTGTACAGTAAAAATAATAGCAATGATAAAATACAGTACCACAGAGCCTACTTCAAATCTCATTTCTCAAATGCTCTGAGGATGCCACGAGTATTCAGAGTTTGACAACGCCTTTACACGTAACACCTGTATAATCGAAGTATGACGACCTGGGCAAATCAGAAGTCAGAAACAAGGAGGTTCACAGATATATTTGACAAGCTGTCGATATCTCGAGAAGCGTTCGATCTAATCTGGCTAACGGTTGTAGGAGATGTCTAGCACAGTGCATCCACTCTTGATGTGGTGCGAAGGCGTTAGATATTTCTACTGAAACTAATTAGATCAGCATCAAATGTCGAAGGCTTACAGAGATATTGATTTTGGGGATTTATTTGCCGATACAATGTATTTTGAACTCTCACTTGAGACTTCATCTGGAAAATAACCAGTGCACAACATCTTCTCACCTGAATAGATATGATGCTCTCCTGAGATGTGTTTGATTAGGAACAATTAAAAATCAAACCCTTCTTAGCTATTCTGGAAGTTCCAAATTTGCAACCTGTGGGGTGGTATATAACCCTGGTTCATCATGTCGCTTCGCCTTATTTCAATGTTTCTTCATTTCAGATATTTTTGCTATTATAAACCGGGAATTGCCAATCGAATGCTTATAATCGGGTTGCACAGTTTCAAATAACAATGAGTTGCTATACTCGCGCTGACCTTAAGAGTATTCGCTTCGCAGCCTATTTTGTCTCCACCATGCAGTAAGTACTGTTTTCTTTCCTCCGACTATCTTCTGGCATGTTTTGTGATACATTTTAAAATCTCTAGACACTATCTTTTTACTAAGATCTTAGTTACTAAGCAGCGAAAGTATCAAGAACAACCCATGACGAACATATATGTTCGTCTGATGACCCAATATCTAGTTTGTCCACTTATTTAGTTTCCATTGTCACATTGTTGTTTTGCTTAGCTATCTGTTTTAATTAGTTTCACACTGGTTTATTGTCATATCGATATCGTTCATATCTGAACTTATGGATTGAATTTACTGTAATTTTAAATTACGTTTCAGTAAATGAGTCGTTTGTCTTGCCATCTTTATGTTCGAATATTAGTTGTCACATAAAAAAACATAATTTCCTTCAGCTGCTAGGTGAAAAATGACTACAAATTCACCATCCTTAGTTCGAGAGGGCAGTATAGTTGTATTGGTGTGGCGCATATATATTTGGTGCCCTATTGTACCAATATTTATATTTTCAAACAAACAATAGTTGTATTGTGAGACTATAATTCTCGAACAAACTTTGACATCAGTGATCTTGAAGAATCCAAACTACTAGGGCCCAAAAATGGTTACTAATTAATCTGAAATGTTAAGGATTATGATTAATAATTAAACTAAGGGTTTTCAGCATGAACTAATATCAATCGTAACACAATTTTATTTGGAGATATCGGTGGATGAATTTGACCTGATCGATCTGTCCGTAAATTGTAGGCTTCCCGTTTTTATCCTTGCTTGGGTCATAAGTGCTTTTGAAAATCAGGTGGACACTCAATGTCACTCTGGAGTCGCTCAAAAGTTGTCCGTAAATTATATCCTCACAAAAATAGTGTATTACTATTACAATGCTTTCATACAAATCCTTCAATGTCTATGAAATAACGTTTTGAGTTGATTTTAGAACCATACAAATCGATTTCCTGAAATATTCAATCGTTTTAATCATCATAAGATTCCCTATTGTCCAGTGCATTAGTAATGACATTATCTCGTTTTCAGCGAAATTGTCTTTATACATTTTATCCCAAATTCCTGAATGTTGAACACCGACATTCTATTGTGATGGAAGCTTGGTTCTCGTGCTTTATCACTGAGGGATTTTTACACGCATATGCTGAATTTAGCATAAATATATCTCAATCTCACCATTCCTCTTCAACTTTGCCATCAATGACATTCTGGAAACGGCTCTGATGGGTGTAAGTAGTGACAGTGTGGATCTGTTGCCTGGAGAAAGACTTCTCGACCTTGATTATGCGGATGATATTGTCTTACTGTGCGAGAATGCCCAAGCCATACAATCCGCACTTAGTCAATTGAGAATCAGTGTCCGTAGGTACGGTATGTGCTTTGCACCTTCGAAGTGCAAAGTACTTCTACAAGACTGGCAGGATTCTAATCCTGTACTCACTCTGGATGGTGAGCAGATAGAAGTAGTCGAGAAGTTCGTGTATCTAGGTAGCTGCATAAGTGCTGGTGGTTATTTATTTATTTATTTTAACACATAGATATTGGTACAAGGAGGCACCAAGTACATATGCGCCACACGAATCTCAATTGATTTGTGTGAGGGCTGTGATACTGCTCGGGTGCCCAAACCGAAGCAGGTAGTTTTCTTAGGGGGCCACACTCCGAGCCTTCGACCTGAACGTCTGACCCACAAGGCAGTGGAGCATCGTAAGAAGATGCAGTCCCATGGTAGCCGGTGACCAACGATTGGTTCATACGCCATTTTTTCCCTCAGGATACTGGAGCCCATGTGCACCATTGGTTTGGGATCAGGTTAAAGCGCCGGACATTCGCTTTTCGTCCTCTCATTTTCGTAAACAACACCCCCGCCGCGTGAAGGCAGTGAGTAGGACTTCCCTGGCAGGGGCTATGTACGCGTGGCCATGTGAGAGCATTTCGAGAGGGAGAGCGGACTCTCCCCACTCTCAGCCGTACCAGGGCATTTGGGGGCAAGTGCTGGTGGTGGCGTGAGTGATGCGATCAATGCACATATAGTGAAAGCCAGAGCGGTTCATGCCAATCTGGGCCATCTTCGGCACCTTCGTGATGTTAGTCTGGCTGTAAAAGGTCGGATCTACAACGCGTCGGTGAGAACAGTTCTGCTCTATGCTTGTGAAACCTGGCCTCTCCGAGTTGAGGATGTTAGACGACTCTCTGTGTTTGATAATCGTTGTCTCCGAAGGATTGCTGACATCCAGTGGCAACACCACGTCAGTAATGCAGAGGTTCAGCATCGTGTGTCCGGGCACAGAGACGATAATCCAATTGGTGTCACCATCTTGAAACACCAACTTCGGTGGCTTGGACATATTCTACGGATGTCGTCCAAGAGAATTCCACGTCGTGCATTATTTGCCGACTTTGGGGACTGGTTGGAAAAAGAAGAGAGGTGGTCAGTGTATGACATAGTGTCAAGGTACGAAAGAAAGCTGCAAAGGGCTGGCTTCTGTTGGTCCTTCACGACTCCTTGGCTGGGATCCGAGAGATGGTGCAACACAGTGGCTAGAGACGTTATCAGATATGGCTCATAATAGAAGCCAGTGGCGATCCTGCTGTAACCTTCTTTTACTTTCTTCATAAAAAGTGGTTGTATCTTCCTTAACTGAAAGATTTCTTCTGATTGTACCTTTCCGTTTCCCCCATTTTTATTATTATTATTATTATCATTACTATTATTATTATTACTATCATTATTATTACACACTACCTTACACTAATCTGTTCGTTATTGTCCTTTTTTTCTCCCCATTCTTATTGTTTTGTGTGGCGCATATATATTTGGTACTCTCTTGTACCAATATTTATGTGTTCAAATAAAATAAGTAAATAACTCAGTAAGGTTGAAAAGGCTATAAGTAATCTGTAGCGAGGGAGAGCAGCAGGACCTAATGGACTAGTGGTCCGGTTTTAGCAGTTTGATTTACTGGAATCTTAGCTAAAATCTGGAAACTGGATGTAATCCAACTAGTCTCGATCACTGATTGTCCCAGTTTATAAGAAAAGACAACCATAAAGATATCAGTTTAACCCATTTAGTGCCTAAACTATTAACTTCAATAATACTTCGACGTCTAACTAGAGCTCGTGAAGAGCAACTCTGAGAAAACCAGTCTGGTTTCATAGCCGGACGTGGATGTATGAACCAAATATTTAGCCTTCAGTAAATTCTGAAACATAGACATACGTTTTGACGTCGTACTATAGTTGTATTCTTTGACCTTAGGGCAACATTCGACTCTTGATCATGAGGTTCTGTGTCAGTGTCTGGCATTGATAGGCATCCCAAAGAAGTACTTTAACCTTGTACAGGATCTCTACTCTAACACTTCTGGTCGAGTCAGAGGTTATGGAGTTAATCTTCGACCAGGTAATTTACTTGTTGACTTGGAATACGTAGATGATATAGTTCTGTTTGGTGATGTTAACAAAATGAAGTCTTCTGACCAGGGAAGTCCTACTCACTGCCTTCTCACGGTGGGGGTGTTGTTTACGAAAATGAGAGGACGAAAAGCGAATGTCCGGCGCTTTAACCTGATCCCAAACCAATGGTGCACATGGGCTCCAGTATCCTGAGGGGAAGAATGTCGTATGAACCAATCGTTGGTCACCGGCTACCATGGGACTGCATCTCCTCACGATGCTCCACTGCCTTGTGTGTTAGACCTTTACGTCAAAGGCTAGGGGTGTGGCTCCCTAAGAAAACTACCTGCTTCGGTTTGGGCACCCGGGCAGTACCAGCCCTCACACATATCAAATGAGATCTGTGTGGCGCATATATATTTGGTGCCTCCTTGTACCAATATCTGTGTTAAAATAAATAAATAATAACCACTTTAAGCAACAATGTAAGTATGTTTGTGATGCGATTCTTCCCCATCAAATATAAAATGATACTTCAGGATTGACATGGGTCATCCTCTGAATTAGTGATAGGTGGTAAAGCAGTTGAACCCACTGACCGCTTTACCTATCTTGGGAGTCCCATCGTTACTGATGCTCTGGCGTCTGACGAAATCTGTGCACTGATTAAGAAGGTTCGATTGGCTTTTGTAAACTTGCATCACTTGTGGAGTAGGTGAGATAACTGTTTTTCAACTGACGAGAGGTTACTGCGCAGCAGTTCTCTCTATTCTACTTTATAGATATGAAACATGGCTATTAAAAGTAAGGGATATTCGTTGGATTCTAATGTTCTATCATGGATGTCTTCGAAGCATTGCTCGTGTATTTTGAGATCACAGAGCGATGCCCTTGTTAGGAATAGAGTACTAGGTAAAAATTGAAAATCGATTGATAAGGCAGTAAATCTTCATCAACTGAGGTGGTTGGGACATGTATTACTTATGCTCTACCTCAACAAGCGATGTTTTCTGGTGCAGAATCAGGCTGAAAGGAAGTTAGAGGCGGCCAAACTAACACATGGCATCAGTCCATAAAGTCACTGGCAATGGGACTCATCCATGGTAATGGGTACAGACTTCGTCCCGACCGTTGCTGCTACATTGACGTTGGGCTTGCCTACCGTGATAAATCAAGGTCCTACCATGCCAGACAAATCGGTTGAAGAACGGCAAGACTAAAAGCAGTAAACCCAAGGTCCGAGGGCAAATTCATACTGCTGACTGTACAGGGGTGTGACAGCATTAATGTGCTTCCCTCAGACAACCAGCATAATAGTGATCCTGTTTTTCCAAAAGGAGGGGTAGGGTTAGAAAACGTTGGCCCTAAAAGTGCACACCGCATTATCCCACAAATATCCATCTCCGGCGGTAAGGTCCCAACAAGTACGGAGCTAACACGAACATTACTCACAAAAAGGTCGTGTGTGACCGACCTCAAGCAGCTATCCCTTGATCACTGCGGTCACGCTCTCAGGACAAGAAGACCACCTCTAACCCATTTTCCTTTCCAGGTACCTCCAGAAGAACCCTTAAACGGGATATGATAGCCGCCTTCATGCCTCTAACAGCATTCAAGACCACTGTATTCCTAATCAATCTCCTTCTTCATTTCCTATAATTCCTTCTATATTGACTTTCAACACCAAACTTTCACTTTTTGCTTCCTCCTCGGTGTACGGTGATCCAGTTTTAGCGATTAAGTTGCCTAATATTTTAGCTAAAATCTGGGAGTTGGATGTAATTCCATCTGACTGGTCACAATCACTTATCGTCCCAATATATAAGGGGTCAAAATCATCCTGTAATAACTATAGAGGTATTAGTTCGACCAATATAGCATCTAAAATACTAGCCTCGATAATTATCGGATGCCCAACTAAAACTCGTGAACTGAAAACACGAGAGAATCAAGCTGGCTTCAGACCTGGTCGCGGCTGCATCGACCACATATTCACCATTCGTCAGATCTTAGAACAAAGGTATGCTTAGTTTATCTTGGCTTGAAAGCAGCATTTGACTCTGTAGACCGAGAGGTTCTGTGGCAGTGTTTGTCATTGAAAGTCGTTCCTCAGAAGTACATAAACCTCGTGAAGGCTCTTTACTCGAACACTACCAGTCGGGTCAGTGCTCATGGAAAGTTGTTATCTGATTTTTCAACCTCAAGTGTTGTTCGTCAAGGCTGTCCACTATCTCCATTTTTGTTCACTTTTATCATAGACCTGTTGTCGTTTACTGAATTTTCGGGCATTGACCTCCTACGAGGAGGCCCACTTATCGACTTAGAATACGCAGATGACAGTCCTGTTTGGTGAAGACGCTGATAAAATGCAGAGTCTTCTGGTAGCACTGAGCAACAATGCAAGAATGTTTGGAATGCGTTTCTCTCCCTCTAAATGGAAGTTGTTGCTTCAGAACTGGCCTGCGTCAACACCTGAACTAAGGATAGGAAGTGAAGTAGCCGAACGCGTTGACAACTTCACTTATCTTGGAAGTCTAATCAGCCCTAATGAGTTGGTGTGTGACATCCCATCACGAATTCAAAAACGTCGTTTGGCTTTTGCCAACTTACGTCACCTATGGTCAGTCAGTTCGTCAGTAACAACGTGGAACTTCTTGCGTACGTACATCAGTTCGAGTTGCTATACCACATTAGCATAGAGATTCAGTTATCGATTCAAATCCCGTATTGGTAGAGGTAGTAAAAGTATAAGTAGTGATAGGGAACATTAGGGTTTGATGATGTGATTTAAGGAGTACAGTCCAGTGGAATAGATTTGAAAAGAAAATAAAGGACATGAAGAATTCAGAAGATCAGTGTTTGAGAAAACACAAAGAGTGGATGCACCTGCGCCATTGCAAACGATTTTGAGTCATGCCATTCAAGATCTCTAACCATCGGTTGCTATCGTTTCGCGGACCCCAACCATGTAGTCTACACCTACCAACATGGCTCAGTCCATTTGTCAGTGACTTCATGGATTTGTGCCATGTTTTGGTCTGGCCGCCCCTAGCTTTCTTCCAACCTACTCCTACACCAGAAAAAACCGCACGTCGGGGCAGTCAGTGGTCCGGCATACGTAACACATGTCCTAGCCATCTCAACTGATTAAGTTTCACTACTTCCTCAATTGATTTGCCATCCTTACCTAGTACCCGTTTCCTAACAACTGAGGTACTTACTCGGTGGTCCCAGAATATACGAGCAATGTTTCGAAGACATCTGTGGTCGAATACTAGTAACCTACGAATATTCTCTACTCTTACTGGCCATGTTTCACTTCCATAAAGTAGGACGGAACGAACTGCTGCGCAGTAAACTCGTCTTTTGGTTGATAGACGGATATCTCGCCTACGCCATAAATGACTCAAGTTGGCAAAAGCTAGTCGAGCCTTCTGTATCCGTGCTGAGATTTCGTCACATACCAGATCACAAGGGCTGATGGGACTTTCAAGATAAGTGAAGCGGTCGACACGCTCAACTACTTCACTCCCTATCACTAGTTCGGGTGTCACCTATGGGGAAGGCGAGATATCCGTCTACCAATTAAGGGACGAGTATACCGCACCGCAGTTTGTTCCGTTCTACTTTACGGCTGCGAAACGTGGCCACGAAGAGTGGAAGATACCTGTAAGCTACCAATATTTGACCACAGATGTCTTAGAAATATTGCCCGCATCTTCTGGGATCACCGGGTAAGTAATAGTGAGGTTAGACGTAGGGTATTAGGGAATGATGACAAATCAGTTGATGAGGTTATGAACCTTCATCGACTGAGATGGTTGGACCACGTGCTGCGTATGCCTGAACACCGTCTACCACGACGCGCAGTGCTGATTAGTGTTAGAGACTATTGGAAGAAAGTTAGGGGCGGTCAAACCAAAACGTGGCATCAGTCGCTGAAGTCACTAACTTCTGGTCTGAGCCATGTTAGTAGATGCAGACTACTTGGTTGGGGTCCGTGTGACTATCGTAATTAATCGTTTGAGCCTCTTGGTGACATGGTTCGGAATCGATCACACTAGAGTAGGTGTATACACTATTTGTCTTCCTTTAAACTGAGATTAAAATCGCGTTATATCTTTCTTTCTTCCTGTACTGTATCCTTATATGCAATCTTTCTTTTATATATTACCACCATTGAATTAACTACTTCTATGAATTCTATGTTCATCTTGTTGTGCTAATGCGGTATGGCAACTTGGACCGATGTACATATGTGCTTGGTCCTACTTTGTAGATGACTGACAGACTACGTGGTTGGTGTCCACTTGATTATCGTAACCAATGATTAGAGACTTTAAACATGGTTCAATATCGTTTGCAATGGCGCAGGCTCACCTCTTATTCTTCACCCAAATTCTGAGATTCTAAATTTCTCATGTTTTTTTCTTACTTTCTTTTCAAGTTGTATCTTCTATGTTTTATCTTTCCTATTGCCACTGATACGGTTACTACCTCTACTCTTTTGGGATTCTGCCTGACAATTTCATTTCAGTGTCTTAATGGGGTACATACATACAGGTTCTACTTTGTGAATGAATGACCAAATAACACGTTTTTATTTATCTGTTTTCGTTCACTTTTTCCTTATCGCCAAAATCCTGAGAACTGTTATACAAGTGACTTTCTCACGAATCACTGGCTTGAATATGTAACAGTTGTAAAGTCAGTCCTCACTAGTTATAATAATATATGGCGATTTTTCCTTCACAAATTTCCCTTTCGTCCCTTGGAAATATAAAACAGAATATAATTCTGAGTTTTGTTGCTATCAGTATTGGCTCTTTATTTTTTGAATTTAATTTCGCGAAAATGTCACAAACCGTATCCTATCGGTTTAGTGATTTGATGAAAGCCCAAGCCTCTGAAATTTTAGAGTACTTCTAGAACGTTTTTATTACTTGATACCAACCAGACAACTTCAAATGGCGTCTTTATTTCTGTACAAAGATATAGGACTCCTTTCCACGGAAACTTAGGATAATGTTTAGAATGCATCACTAAAATCTTTAACGTTTTCACTACGTCAAGAACTGAACTTATGTACTGATACTTTTTTCTTTGACAAATTTTAGATAAATGGAAAATTATCATTATCCTATGCAAAATATTTTTGTTCACAACCCTTTCTCATGTATCATACCCCTTCCGCAAGGAAACGAAAGTTCGTTTTTCAGTGTCTCTGTGCCCTTGTCGTCCCAATCCAAACGGGGGCCACTCCTTCAGGATCCATCTCCAACCTCCGATCTACCAACAAGCAGTATATCGAGTTCATTTACATAAAGTGTGTTTATTAGGTCCCTCAAATGACATCATACAAACGTCATTATGTGAAGTAAATTTGGATGATGTCCCGATGGAAATTGTTACTTCCGAAGAAGACTCTGGATCAGAATATGCTGATGCTTTCCTCTCCGCATACACAGAGTCAGAGGATCCAGTTGTTCAGAATGTAGGTTTACCTCATTTGTTATTTATTTCTGAAGTGCTCAGCAGAATTAGATGAAATTGAACTCAGAAGTCGTGCACTAAGGAGTATGCTGCTCCAGAAAAAAACCGATTCTGGGAATAGAACTCAACCGAAAGCTGATCTCACACTGCTCCATGACTTACCGGAAGTCAGGAATTCTTTTTCAAAAGTCACGGCATCTTGTGATTCATCAACCCTAAAACATAAGCAGAAATTTATAATTACGTTACATGAATCATCAGATAGTGATGACTCACTTAGTCAACCTGTTGGTGCTGTTTTCAAGGGTTCAGCAGCAAAAAGATGCGCTCCTAAACCTCCTATTAACATGAATATTCCTAATCAATCAAAGAAAATCAGTCGTTTTCATCAAGAAGAAAAAATGTTGTTACAACGAAAAATGGAGCTTCTCCGACTGAAACTAACTGTTAAACGTCAACAACACTTGATAGATGAACGACGTAAAATCGTTCGGAAGTTATCAACCACGTTATCAGAACTTCGTAGGCGCTGTAAGCATACAGCTTTGTTGTATAAAGAAGCTAGTAAGTCTCTTCTCAAGGCCCAACGTACAAATGCTACATATCAGCGAAAACTAGCTTCAGCCCAAAAATTATATTCAGATGTGCTTAATTCTGTGAACCGCTCCACTGCGGACATAATACAAACAGGTTTTGCCTTATCATCTGTAAATCTACGCAGAGATCTTATTATTTTGTCTCTAGATATTCTACAAAGAGCGAAAGTGGTTACGTGGTTTCTTGTTCACTATCATTTTAACCCAAATACGTCGAAGTTTAACATGAAAAGTGTGAAGCCGGTGGCAACTGTAAAACCAAGTTCTGAAACCTTGCTGGAATTTGATCCATTTCGCCCGATTTGCCCATTTTTTCTTGATGGTGAATGTCTAGACAAAACATGTATATTTCAGCATCCTAAAAATTCAACTGTTATTAAAGCAAAACCGAAAACTTTTTCCCCTTTACCAATGGTTAGCACGGATGCTGTGTCTCTGCTTGGTGAGGAAAATAAAGGGAAATATGATGACGTGTATTGTGAAGTGTGCAAAGAAAATTTGATCATATCTGCATCAGATTTCTCTCAGTCACCAGCACTGCAACGTTGGCATACAGCTTATCTTACATATTTACGTTCAGAACCAAAAAACTCGGCCTTCCTTCATAAATTCTTAAGCGACCTCAAAAATTCCTCATTCCCTGCAGATTTATGTGCCCATCTAGTATTCGGACTTTTGTTATGTTCTAATATGGATCCCATAACAGTTAAGCAAAAGCTTTTTGACTGCCTAAAAGCCTCCGGTTTTCCATTGAATGCCTGTAGATTAGCATTGCGACATTCCAATTTAAGCATACCAATCCGCAGATCAATAATTAAATTGTCTCTTGAATATATAACTCTTCAATTCCAGCAAGATGCACAAGCAAGTCAAGAATCAAATTTTGAGTCGTCTTTCGCGTACTTCGTTTATCAGTGGTGTTTGCTTGAACAAGAAGTTGGTTTACATAACAAGGTAATAACCATCCTAAAACATACTCTCAAATCATTACCCAAGGAGAACAAGCTAATTTTTTTCTTGTGGTGGTTACGATTATATCACCATCTAAATGGTACTTTACCTCAAGAAAACCTATTTTCTACCGCCAATTCACCATGCTTCTCCAAACCAGTCCTCCTATCTAACCTGGAAATTATTGAAATGGCAGCCACTGAAACTGGTATTTCTAAAAATTTATCTCAGTTACTGAAATCATTTGAAACTATTAAAAATGATATTAGTTTCACTTGCTTTCTGTATATCACTCATTTATACATTCAAACTCTTAATGCAGATTCCAAATTTAAAAGTGCAGCAGATATAGCACTGACAGTAGCATTACATTCCCCTGAGTTTGTAGATGATCTATTTTTCCCATCTGCAGTATATTCTTTATTTTCCTTAGATTCATCTCTTGACTGGACAAGCTTGATTAGTAATGTGTCTGACAAATTACGAATTAACCTTAGTTTAGCCCATCGGATTGAATTTGGATTCTTGATAACATGTTTAAATTGGCGTAGAAAAACATTAAATTCTACGGAATTCCATCTTATTGAATGTTTAGGCAACTTAATCTTTCTTCCAAAAGATGATTGCGAAAGTGTTATTTCAGCTTATGAAAATTTGTTGAATATAAAGTCCAGTAATAGCAGTCTTGTTAACTTTAAATTGTGTTTACGAAGTTCCACATATTTATGGCTCAGTTATTGTCTGTATACCACTATCCATTGCCTAAATTACGGTGAAGTTTTAGACCACTTAATTAGTCACTATAAGTCATGCATCACGAGTTGTGCAAACGAAGATCCAAATTATGTTTTCATTCGTCTTTTAGCCCTAATGAGTCTCTTATTAGCAAGTCATGTGAATCAGTTAGATAGTTCAACTTATCCTACTGTCATAAAGTTACTGTTCATCGATAACCCTTTCAAGTTGGATCGTAAGTTACTTCCAGCGTACTTTCTTGAATTGATTCAACAAATTAACTTAGGTCTTCTTCCTCCTGGAATTCGTCACGATATATGTGTACAACTTGTTGAAATATATGGTGCTTCTCTGGTTCCTTCTTTGTGTCGGACTTTATGTGCTCTAGGTGACCACTTTTTAGCTCAAAGTCTGTGTGCAGTTGGATGTTTAGATAGACCTGATAATGAAGACTTCTGGCTTTTATATGCTTCGACAACATTTAAAACTCTTTCACATATACGATCACATGAACAGTTATCAACTCTTCTAGAAATTCTAATAAATGCAACTTCTGCGGTGACCTCAAGTTCTCGACTTTGGAAATATTATGCACTTGCTGTTCGCATTGCCAAAGTATCGGTGGAGCAAATAACGAGTCGTGCGAAGTCTGTTGGAATGTATGATCTCATTTCTAGTAGTCTGAACGATGACAACCCTACAAAGTTTTTATCAGAACTTGGACTCCTCTGTGATGAAAGATCTATGGACAGAAAAAGTTAGAATCGAACCATAAAAGTAAGTTAGTTTAGAAAAGTAATAGTGTAACATCCTCATTTTCAAAGTTTATTTCGATACTTTTATTCCCGGTCTTTTAATAAAATGGTTCTAATTCTATTTATTGTATTTGTTCGTCTAACCATTTACTTATCTGCTCTTTGGTAGTTTACAACATTTATTTTTCTAGAAATTACTGCAGGCCATTTTTTCAAGTTTCATAGAAAGCCAACAATTTTTAATTACTGGAAAACTAGTCTGTTTGGTTTGGTGGACATTTGTTGATACAGCATTGAATGACGAACGTAACCTATCATTAGAGGACTTAGTTAAAATAGTTTAAAACCTGTCACTATAGCTCAGGTACATTTATTCTTTTATTCTCTCAAATCTCGAGCACAACACTATTATATACTTCCCATTCCCAAATCTCAATTATCCCTTCAAAACTGTCTAATATGTGTAGTTTTCTGCAAAGATAAGTATTTTAATTTCTACTTCTCTGGTCTCATCTTAATAAATGTAATTTTTGAGAATTTAGACTGACATAAATTTTTGCCGAATTACATAATCCTTTTACTTATATCTATCAATCAGAGTTATACCAACCTAATTTATTGCTTATGGAGAAATAGGATTATTTATATCAGTCAGTCATCTACAAAGTAGGACCAAGCACATATGTACATCGGTCCAAGTTGCCATACCGCATTAGCACAACAAGATGAACATAGAATTCATAGAAGTAGTTAATTCAATGGTGGTAATATATAAAAGAAAGATTGCATATAAGGATACAGTACAGGAAGAAAGAAAGATATAACGCGATTTTAATCTCAGTTTAAAGGAAGACAAATAGTGTATACACCTACTCTAGTGTGATCGATTCCGAACCATGTCACCAAGAGGCTCAAACGATTAATTACGATAGTCACACGGACCCCAACCAAGTAGTCTGCATCTACTAACATGGCTCAGACCAGAAGTTAGTGACTTCAGCGACTGATGCCACGTTTTGGTTTGACCGCCCCTAACTTTCTTCCAATAGTCTCTAACACTAATCAGCACTGCGCGTCGTGGTAGACGGTGTTCAGGCATACGCAGCACGTGGTCCAACCATCTCAGTCGATGAAGATTCATAACCTCATCAACTGATTTGTCATCATTCCCTAATACCCTACGTCTAACCTCACTATTACTTACCCGGTGATCCCAGAAGATGCGGGCAATATTTCTAAGACATCTGTGGTCAAATATTGGTAGCTTACAGGTATCTTCCACTCTTCGTGGCCACGTTTCGCAGCCGTAAAGTAGAACGGAACAAACTGCGGTGCGGTATACTCGTCCCTTAATTGGTAGACGGATATCTCGCCTTCCCCATAGGTGACACCCGAACTAGTGATAGGGAGTGAAGTAGTTGAGCGTGTCGACCGCTTCACTTATCTTGAAAGTCCCATCAGCCCTTGTGATCTGGTATGTGACGAAATCTCAGCACGGATACAGAAGGCTCGACTAGCTTTTGCCAACTTGAGTCATTTATGGCGTAGGCGAGATATCCGTCTATCAACCAAAAGACGAGTTTACTGCGCAGCAGTTCGTTCCGTCCTACTTTATGGAAGTGAAACATGGCCAGTAAGAGTAGAGAATATTCGTAGGTTACTAGTATTCGACCACAGATGTCTTCGAAACATTGCTCGTATATTCTGGGACCACCGAGTAAGTACCTCAGTTGTTAGGAAACGGGTACTAGGTAAGGATGGCAAATCAATTGAGGAAGTAGTGAAACTTAATCAGTTGAGATGGCTAGGACATGTGTTACGTATGCCGGACCACTGACTGCCCCGACGTGCGGTTTTTTCTGGTGTAGGAGTAGGTTGGAAGAAAGCTAGGGGCGGCCAGACCAAAACATGGCACAAATCCATGAAGTCACTGACAAATGGACTGAGCCATGTTGGTAGGTGTAGACTACATGGTTGGGGTCCGCGAAACGATAGCAACCGATGGTTAGAGATCTTGAATGGCATGACTCAAAATCGTTTGCAATGGCGCAGGTGCATCCACTCTTTGTGTTTTCTCAAACACTGATCTTCTGAATTCTTCATGTCCTTTATTTTCTTTTCAAATCTATTCCACTGGACTGTACTCCTTAAATCACATCATCAAACCCTAATGTTCCCTATCACTACTTATACTTTTACTACCTCTACCAATACGGGATTTGAATCGATAACTGAATCTCTATGCTAATGTGGTATAGCAACTCGAACTGATGTACGTACGCAAGAAGTTCCACGTTGTTACTGACGAACTGACTGACCATAGGTGACGTAAGTTGGCAAAAGCCAAACGACGTTTTTGAATTCGTGATGGGATGTCACACACCAACTCATTAGGGCTGATTAGACTTCCAAGATAAGTGAAGTTGTCAACGCGTTCGGCTACTTCACTTCCTATCCTTAGTTCAGGTGTTGACGCAGGCCAGTTCTGAAGCAACAACTTCCATTTAGAGGGAGAGAAACGCATTCCAAACATTCTTGCATTGTTGCTCAGTGCTACCAGAAGACTCTGCATTTTATCAGCGTCTTCACCAAACAGGACTGTCATCTGCGTATTCTAAGTCGATAAGTGGGCCTCCTCGTAGGAGGTCAATGCCCGAAAATTCAGTAAACGACAACAGGTCTATGATAAAAGTGAACAAAAATGGAGATAGTGGACAGCCTTGACGAACAACACTTGAGGTTGAAAAATCAGATAACAACTTTCCATGAGCACTGACCCGACTGGTAGTGTTCGAGTAAAGAGCCTTCACGAGGTTTATGTACTTCTGAGGAACGACTTTCAATGACAAACACTGCCACAGAACCTCTCGGTCTACAGAGTCAAATGCTGCTTTCAAGCCAAGATAAACTAAGCATACCTTTGTTCTAAGATCTGACGAATGGTGAATATGTGGTCGATGCAGCCGCGACCAGGTCTGAAGCCAGCTTGATTCTCTCGTGTTTTCAGTTCACGAGTTTTAGTTGGGCATCCGATAATTATCGAGGCTAGTATTTTAGATGCTATATTGGTCGAACTAATACCTCTATAGTTATTACAGGATGATTTTGACCCCTTATATATTGGGACGATAAGTGATTGTGACCAGTCAGATGGAATTACATCCAACTCCCAGATTTTAGCTAAAATATTAGGCAACTTAATCGCTAAAACTGGATCACCGTACACCGAGGAGGAAGCAAAAAGTGAAAGTTTGGTGTTGAAAGTCAATATAGAAGGAATTATAGGAAATGAAGAAGGAGATTGATTAGGAATACAGCGGTCTTGAATGCTGTTAGAGGCATGAAGGCGGCTATCACAAAATAGAAAACATCTAATCCTAAAATCTTTATATGCTACCCAATTCCAAATTGTTGCTTTCGACAGTTTATAGTCAGTCGAATGTTTGTGCGTACCTTTCTATGTCTTCTGTTATTGTTTTCCAACCACTTTAGAATTTCATCTATGTATTGGCATCAAGTAGTCTGTTCGTAAATTCCATCTAGGTTACTTTCCCAACGAATTACATTTTGAAGCTAATTGAAAGGATAGATGGATGGTTACTAGCAGTGGAATCCAGGATGCGCGTTTCGTCCTAATAAAGCTTGTGATCTAAGGCAATATCGAGGCAGTCCGCTAAGGATTTACATATGCCAATATAAGAGACTGAACAATTGCAGTCTTAAATAACAATGGGAAGATACAAGTAAACGTCATGTGGATTTATAACTGGTAGGAGGATTTCTCACTAAAGATAAATATATCACACATTACCATAATAGTCTAGAGCGACAAATAGCCGTCTATTTTTATTAACAAGGTGGAAACGTAAGATTTCGAAATAATAATATCGATAATGGTAAGAAACGAATCATCTAGATTATTTCAGAAGCAACGAGTGAAATCGGCAAGTAAAGTGTAATGTTGACCCTCAATATTCAGTTGATAAATGCATTTCCATCGCTGTGACTAATAATGTCTTTACTTATCATCTTGTTAATTTCCTCTCTTTATGCTAGGGTGTGACAACTTCAAACCGTATTCGTCTCAATTCCTACACTGAAGGTGACTACGACCATTAAATGTTTATGTCACACACCCCGACCAGAAACTATGCATGTTCCTGGATTATTACACTTGAACTCCTAGTCTATGCTTTGCTAGTTAAACTAAATTCGGGATTGCTTAATAGATAGTTGTTCTTGAAGGTTGTCTGATCAGCTCTGCGTTCTGTGTATGGGACCGGGTATTTAGTATCATGGTTTTGAGTTTCTCATATGCTGTCAAAACATATCTGTGTCCTCACAATCCAAGCAGTTGTAACGTAATGCATGGGACAAGCTGGACACTTCAGGTGTACATATATCTCATGAGCACAAAATATTTTGACATGTTTTAAAATAGGTCATCTGTTTTTATTGATAATTTGAAAGAATAGAATTGAAATGAGGAAGATATGTTTTATACTTCTGTAATCGGTAGTAACAACTGGAGTATAGTTATTGATTTTGCTCAGATTCTATGAAATAATTTGGTGACCGTAACTTAAATTTCCTTCGTTAATTTTAGGGATTCAATCATCATTACAAAAGTTTTTCCAGCCAAGTGTAGCTTTACTCAACTTTATTGTTGATGATGACGGTATCATTGTTTCTTCTTTTGTAGTTATTGTAGCATTGCAAAGGTTATTTTTCATTTATTCATTGTTCTATATAAATTTTCAGGAGAGTCGCCTACACAAATCTTAATGCTGGGAACATTTCGGTCTGGTAAGTGCTATCTGTAGAGTTCGATAGACTAGTATGATCACTTTCGGTGACAAATTGTACAGTAATTTATATATGTAAATAAAGTTCCATTTGCAAACAATTACTCAAAGTCTTGTTCTCAATTTTCACAATGAAGTGACATGTTCGTTTTCGTTCTTAAGATGATTAAACTTAAAAATGGTAATATTGGTTTGGACTTTCTCACAAGTGACATGAAAATAAGTGACCAACTTTACAAAATTTTTGACACGACTTCCTAATTACAAAAATACAGTTTATTCAAATAGGGCTGTTGTCAGAATAGATGGGTTATAACATCTCTGACTGGGTGATACTGGCAAAAGCGGGTTCAAATCTCACAGGGAACACTAGCTTCCTCAGGATTACAAATACGCCTTGTTGACGAGTTCCAACTAGCAGGGAAGCTAAGTCTAGGACTTCATGTTAACTGCTTCCAACCATTTAACTTTATGAACTCGCATCGATTCCCCCTATGTATTGTGTACACTATTCGATAAGATCATGATCAGTCTCAGACAATGAGAGCAAATTAGATAAGACAATAAAATTGACTCTATAGTCTAGAGAAAATTATATTCGTATCATGAATTTCAAGTATCAATCGTACACTTGTGCTCATCAGTTGTCTAGATTTGCTAACAATGTCGGGGCGAATTCGTCTAACCTTCGATTCGCATTAGTTTGAAATGAGGTGGCTAAATATCAGTAGTAGACAGCGACCCGCGCTTATTTCATAACAGTTATTGGTCCAGTTAAATACCCAACTTTGGCAGATTGTCTAATTCTTCTAACTATATTTATGTTCGTGTAACACTTTATCTCATAAGTTTGTCAGTTGTGATATCTTTTAAGTACCTAAATATTTGTCGATTTCCCGTTAAGACGCTGACATATTTGGTGTTCAATGAACTACAATCTGCACGTTTCTAGTGCTTAAATAATTATTGTAATAAATTGTAGTTATAAATTACTTTTTACTTTAAAAATTCTATCCTATTAGCTAAGTATGACAAACAAACATTAAGTATTTCAACATATGGTTTGTTCCTAAAGAAGCGGATATATTTAGCGGACTGGATGTGACAATTCGTTATTAAAATGTTAAACATTGTGGGATGATTGTTAGTCTACACCTCGTCTCAACCAACATTATTTTTTCTTTCATCAACAAATCCTGATGGCATCGAGGTTGGGGGGTATTTAAACATGTGTAGTAGATTATTTACTTCACATAAATAATATTAAACAGCTTTTGCAGATGAAAATACTAGAAAATATCCAGGTCATTTTGATAACGGTCTGTTTTATCATAATAAGCATTTATTCATTTATGGCTTTATTCAATATTATATTTTGGTACACAATAGAATTCTCAGCACAAAAAATATTTCAACAAGTTTCTTTTACAGAAAAAAAAGGTTGATAACAAAAAAATCTGAGAAACTGTACAACTTTTCAATTAGCTTCATGTTAAGAATGCAGATTATTGACTAGGTTAACTCTAACAACCTCTTCGTCACAGAGTGTATTTGCCAGGTAAGGTATTATAGAACTTCTATACTTTTGCTTGCGTGCTTGGATTTTAATGTAATTACGTCTCGTTCTACCAGAAGATATACAAGGTGGAAGATATGAGTGAAGGGGATGGTTAGTGTCTGATAAAATAACACCTGCCAGGAGTTTGCATGACTTTAGATGTCTATCCACAACCATATTAATTATGGTCTCAAAAGATTCACCACATACCTTGCTAACTGCCTTAAGCGCTCTCCGCAGTACAGCAAAGTCTTTTCTCAAAAGCTCGGGAAAGAATAATGGAGAACAGTAAAGAATAATGGGTAATATGCAAGAATTGACAAATTGTAAGAGTAAATGACGAGTGATCCCAAGAGCATACAATCTCTTAATGTAGTAAGTCAGACGGAAAGCCTTCTTCGATAACAATGAAACGTGAGAAGACCAAGAGAGATCAGAGGAGAAGGTAACACCAAGATAATTTACCGTCGACACTGTTTATCAATGAGTCGCCAATGGCACAAGCATTATGAGATCTCAAAATGGTGTTAAAATGCCGCTCATGTCTCATGCTAAAGTTAACAGCTTGACATTTAGACGGATTGAGTATGAGACCATTAACAACAGATCAACTATCAATACGAGATACCCTACCTCAGCTGTTAACAAGAAATGCAGTTACATCATTAATGTCAGGGTATCCTACTACTTGTAACGATGTCACTTAATTAATAGCAGTAGTGGATAGGGTATTTTTTTAAAAGTAAATTTAGAATTGCTAGATAAACGTTTTTCTTGAATAAATAAATAATATATATTTCTTAAATGCTTGAAGTTAAAAAAAAGCAACTGATGTCTACTTACTATTTAGCAATTTAATCTTATTTATGTGTAGTAGATCAGTAACATTATAGCCTTCACAAAAAAGATTTAAATGAAACCTTCCAAATAGCCATTATCCGAGTGAACGGGCTCTAGATTTAAAGAACGCATCGGATTTCTGAACTTGTTTCTGGATCATCTTTAGAAACCAAAAAGCAAGTAGTTTTTTTTAAAAAAAACAACAATATAGGGTAGCTAATAGTCGTAAGAATTATACATATATATAAATTTACATCCCAAAGCATCAAGTTGACGCACATGCTAAAGATTGAACTGCTCAATAGAAATAACGTAGTAAAGTTCTTAAAGTAAAGTATTCACTGGAAATTCGAATCAGTACCAGAGTCCCTTAGACCAAGGGTGCTAAAGCGATTCCACACTGGTCATCCGCGTACAAAACGAATGAAATCCATCGCCAGAAGCTATACTTATTGGCCCCTCATGGACCAACATATCGTGGATTTAGTAGGCAATTGCACACAATGTCAGCAAGTGGCCAAGTGTAACGCGAAAGTACTGCCGGTCCCATGGCCACAGCCTGAGTATCCATGGTCCAGAATACATGTCGATTTCGCAGGCCCAATTAATGGAATCACCTACTTAGTCGTTGTTGATGCCTTCTCGAAATGGCCAGAAATCGTTCCCGTCATGCCACCAACGACAACCCAAATGATGAAACTTTTGACAGACATGTTCTACCGCAACGGATTACCGGATATAATTGTATCCGACAACGGTTCGCAGTTCACTTCAAGTCAATTTCAAGAATTTCGCAAACGCCTATCGATCAAGCATTTCCGCTCTCCACCTTACCACCCACAGTCAAATGGCCAAGCAGACAGATTTGTGGATACATTCAAAAGAGCTCTAATGAAATCGAAAGGGGAGGGGACACCAGTGGAAACACTGCAGAATTTCCTGTTTGTTTACCGAACAACACCTAGTGATATGCTTCCACAGCAGAATTCCCCGGCAGAGATCCTAATGGGAAGGAAATTGAGGACGATCCACAGTCTAATGTGCCCAAGAACCACACCACCACCTCAGACCAGATCTCACAAGCTGCAAGCATACGAGGTTGGATGTCCGGTGTTCGCTCGAGACTATAGAGCGAACCATGGTCCTTGGATCGAAGCATGTGTGGTTGGAAGATTAGGCCAAGTTATGTACGAGGTAAAGGTAGGAAGAGACACATGGACTAGACACAGAAACCAACTGCGGAAGCGGATAACGCCAGACCGCCTATCAACAGGAGCAAATCTCCCTCTTGACATCCTGCTTGGTACCTTCAACTTACCAGCAGCCCCACCACGAGAAGAAGCTCAACAAGAAGCTGATCTCCGTTCCAGAAGGTGGCCTCCCAGACAACGGCGAGCAACGGACAGGATGCAGTCAGTCAGTCAGTCAGCTGCAACGTAGGACCAGGCACGTATATGCATCGGTCCAAGTTGCCATACCGCATTAGCACAACAAGATGAACACCGGATTCATAGAAGTAGTTAATTCAGTGGTGGTAATATATAGAAGAAAGATTGTGTATAAGGAGATAGTAAAGGAAGAAAGAATTAGTTCCTAGACAGATATGAAGCGATTTTAATCTCTTAATTTAAAGGAAGACAGAGAGTGTATACACCGACGCCATTGTGATCGATTCTGAGCCATGTCACCAAGAGTCTCCAACCATTGGTTACGATAGTCACGCGGACCCCAACCAGGCAGTCTGAATCTCCCAACATGGCTCAGACCAGAAGTTAGTGACTTCAAGCACTGATGCCACGTTTTGGTTTGGCCGCCCCTAACTTTCTTCCAATAGTCTCTAACACTAATCAGCACTGCGCGTCGTGGTAATCGGTGTTCAGGCATACGCAACACGTGGCCCAACCATCTCAGTCGATGAAGATTCATAACCTCATCAACTGATTTACCATCATTCCCTAATACCCTACGTCTAACCTCACTATTACTTACCCGGTGATCCCAGCAGATACCCGCAATGTTTCTAAGGCACCTGTGATCAAATACCAGTAACTTACGAATATCTTCCACTCTTAAAGGCCATGTTTCGCAGCCGTATAGAAGGACGGAACGAAGTGCCGCGCAGTATACTCGTCCCTTAATTGATAGACGGATATCTCGCCTTCGCCATAGATGACGTAAGTTGGCAAAGGCCAAGCGAGCTTTTCGAATCCGTGCTGAGATTTCGTCAGACACCAACCCATTAGGGCTGATCAGACTTCCAAGATAAGTGAAGTTGTCAATGCGTTCGACTACTTCACCCCCTATCCTTAGTTCAGGTGTTGATGCAGACCAGTCCTGAAGCAACAACTTGCATTTAGAGGGAGAAAAGCGCATCCCAAACATTCTAGCATTGTTGCTCAGTGCTACCAAAAGACTCTGCATTTCATCAGCGTCTTCACCAAACAGGACTATGTCATCTGCGTATTCCAAGTCAATAAGTGGACCTCCTGGTAGGAGATCAATACCCGAGAAGTCAGTCGATGAGAGCGTTATTTCCATCAGGATGTCTATGATAAAGTTAAACAAAAAAGGAGAAAGTGGACAGCCTTGACGGACGCCACTTGAGGTTGCAAAAGCAGATGACAGTTCGCCATAGGCTCTGACCCGACTAGTAGTGTTCGAGTAAAGAGCCTTCACAAGGTTTATGTACTTCTGAGGTACGCCTTTCAA